CTGACTTTTGAAGGCAATTTCTTCTTTTGCTTGAATGTATTGAAATTACCTACTTGCTTGTCTTTTCACTTTTTACCTGGGAATCATGGGCTGGAGCAATAGCACAGCGGGTAAGGCGTTTGCCTTGCACGAGGCTTACCCAGGTTTGATTCCTCCGCCCCTCTTAGAGAGCCCGGCAAACTACGGAGAATATCTCCCCCACACGGCAAACCCTGGCAAGCTACCCCTGACATATTCAGTATGCCAAAAACAGTAACAACAAGTCTCACAATTTGTTGTGAGACGACTGGTGCCCGCTCGAGCAAATCGATGAACAACGGGAGGACAGTACTACAGTGCTATCTGGGAATCATAAGTTATTTGGAGAACTGTAAATATAATGGATGATTTTTTGCATAGCGATTTTTGAGTATTTTTGAGTTTTTGTGAGCTTTTGTTAAACAGTTGTAATAGTATATGACAAGCTTCTTGTCTTCTATGAAAGTATGAAAATAAATTATTTCCATATTACAGATCAAGAAACTGATGCATGTGGGTTTTTTAAATGGTATTATAGAAAAAAAAACTTCTGCATGATACTGTAATGGTACAGACCAGAGTGAACCCCAGTGTAAACTATGGAGTGTTTACATATATTACAAAAATATATTAATATATTAATATTTTAATCATTGTTTTAATAAATACCATACTAATACTAGATGGTAATAATAGAGCAAACTAGAAGAGAGAAAGGATATGAGAATTCTGTTGTTTGGTTTTTGTTTGTTGGCGGGTCGTTGGGCTGGACTGTGCACTCAGGAATTACTTTTGGCATGCTTGGGGACCACATAGGTTGCCAGGGATTGACCCAGGGTTGGACATGTGCAAGGCAATCACTCTACATGCTGTCCTATCTCTCTCGCCCAGTTGTTCGGTTTTTCTAGAAATTTAGATAATCTTCAAAAATTAGCCTTTTTTTTAAGCAAATGATTCTTGAAAGCATACAAATCAACTAGCAGGATTAAAGGCATGAATGCATCGAGGACTCTTCAGCTCTCAGCATTCAGCATCAGTCAGAGGCTTTGCTGAGGAAACTGATTAAACTTCGCTTGGTAGAGCGGAGCTCTGTTGGGGGCTTTAGCTGGGGAAGCTGCAGTGTGTACTACTGCTCTGGTGAGAGAAGGGTGTTGAAGGCAGAGGAAAGGAAAAAGGATGGTAACCCGGAACTCTGAACATAGTCTGCAGAATGGTCAGGAATTGGTCAAGAAAACAGTGAAACAGCTGTGTTTTAGAAAGTGAATAGAAATTTGAAGAAATAGACAACAACGTCAAGTGGTTTCTAGAGGTACGTAAGATGTGAACTATTCAGGACCAGAGAGATAGTTAAGGCACTTGCCTTGTCCAAGGCTGACCCCAGTTTGATTCCTGCCACACGGGGTCCCCCCAGAACTGCCAGGCGTGTTATTGCGCACAGCCAGGGGTAAGCACTGAGCATTCCCAGGTATGACCAAAACATAACAAAAAGGTGTGAATGATTCATTCAACAAATATTTAATAGTGATCTCTGCTACATGTACATCTGTTGTTTTCCATGCCTGTCAAAGTACAGAAGCAAGTAGGGCATTCATAAATTCCTGTCTCTGTGAATTATAATAGAGATTGCATCATAATGAAAGGAGCAGGCTACTTTTATTAAGTGATACAAACCTAATTATTAGATTTTACCAGTCATTCCTGAAGAAATGCTTAAGTTGAAATTTTAAGCAAAAAGTTAATTTATAGGGCTTGGAGCGATAGTATAGCAGGCAAGGGATTTGCCTTGCATACAGCCAACCCAGATTTAATCCCCAGCATCCCATATGGTCCCTGGAGCCCACCAGGAGTGATCCATTGTGTTTTTTATTTGTCTTAATAGTGGTATATAGTTTTCTTGTTAAAGTCTTTAAGCTCTTTTGTTAAGCTGTGTTAAGCTGATTCCCAGTTACTTGATTTTTTGTAAGGCACACTGTAAATAGAATTTTTAAAAATTTAGAAATTTCTCTATTGTATTTTGTTACTTGCATATGGACATGCCATGGATTTCTGTTTATTAATTTTGTAACCTGCCACTTTACTGAGTGTATTGTTTCTAAGAGTTCTTTTTATAGAGTTGTTAGATCTGCAAATAGTGGCAGTTTAAGTTCTTTTCCAATCTGTAAAGGTAAAAGGTAAAGGCCCTCCCGTTGATCATCGATTTGCTCGAGCGGGCCCAGTAACGTCTCCATTGGAGACTTTGTTGTTACTGTGTCTGGCATATTGAATACTCTCGGTAGCTTGCTGGGCTCTCCGAGAGGGGCGGAGGAATTGAACTCGGGTCCCTTAATATCTTTTTAGTCTAATTGCGGTGGCAAGGACTTCTAATACTATATTAAATCTTAGCAGTGTGAGTAAGCAGCTTTGTCTTGTGCCTGATCTTAAAGGGAAGGTTTTCTCAGTTTTTCACCGTTGAGTATGGTGTTCATGGTAAATAGCGGGATTTTTTGTTTATTTACTTGTTTGATTTTTTTTTTTTTTTGCCTTATTGGGTCACACCAGCTATGCTCAGGGGTTACTCCTGGCTTATGCACTCAGGAATCACTCCCGGAGGTGCTCAGGGGACCATATGGGATGCTGGGAATCGAACCTGGATTGGCCACATGCAAGGCAAACGCCCTATTGCTCCAGCTCCAAGCCAGGTTTTTTTAATCACAAATGGGTGTTGGATATTGTCAAATTCATTCTTTGTGTCTATTGATAATGACCGCATGATTTTTTTCCTTCATATTGATATGGTGTATCATGTTGATTTGCATTTATTAAATCATCCTTGCATCCTGGGGATAAATTCTCCTTTATCATGGGTTGTGATCTTTTTTTTTTTTTTTTTTTTTGCTCTTCGGCTCACACCTGTTGATGCACAGGGGTTACTCCTGGCTCATTCACTCAGGAATTACTTCTGGTGATACTCAAGGGACCATATGGGATGCTGGGGATCGAACCTGGGTCAGCCGCCTGCAAGGCAAACGCTGTACTTGCAGTGCTATCTCTCCAGCCCCCAGTTGTGATCTTTTGATGTATTGTTGTATTCAGTGTGCTGATACCTTGTTGAGGATCTTTGCGTCCTTATTCATCAGGGATATTGGGTCAAACACACTCCTTTGTAGTGGTGTTTCTGGGTTTGGGTTGTTGGTTTTTGGTTTTTTTTTTTTTTTTGGTACAGGGATAATATTTGCCTCTAGAAGCTGGTAAGATTCCTGCTTCTTCAGTTTTCTGGAAGAGCTTGAAAAGAACTGGAAAGAGGTCTTCTTTAGAGATGTGGAGGAATTCACAAGTAAACCTTTCTGGGCCTGTGCTTTTGTATTGGGGGAGACATCTGATTACTATTTCAGTTTCTTTGACAGTAATTAGTCTGTTCCTGTGATCTATTTTCTCTTGATTCAGCCTTAGGTTATAGGAATTCAATAATTTACCTTCTCTAGGTCAATTTATTTTCTATAATTCTCCAGTTCTATGGCATAAAGATTTTCACAGTAATCCCTGATGATTGTTCTTATTTCTGTTGTGACATTTCTTTTGCATTTCTGACTCAGTTTTCTAGAGTTTCCTCTTATTTTTTTTTTCACTTTTTTATTTTATTGTATCACCGTGAGGTAGTTAGTTACAAAACTTTCATGTTTGAGATTCAGCCATACAATGTTGAAACACCCATCCCTCCACCAGTGCACATTTTCCACCACCAGTGTCCCAAGTATCACCCCCCCACATACACACATACATACACATCAGAGTCCTCACTCTGCCTCTCTGGCAGACAATTTCCCCAATACTCTCTAATTTGGGGCATTAATTTTTCTCGAATTTTCCTGCCTACCTGCCAGGGGCAGAAACTATTTCAAATATCACGAGAGCTCACGCAGGCACGATTGTAAATGTAAATTTCTGAATTTTAAATGGTTGGGTTCCAGAGACATCTCTGTATGGCACTAATCCATTTTGAGACTCTGTTGGGAGCCTCTGGGCCAGAGCTATTGGTGCGCTAAGATGGCATCCAGAGGCAAATTGTGGGCATGACAACCAGTCTTCTGGGCAAGTGGTGGCCCAGGGAGGGGCAGCCTGGTTCCTCTGCCACAATGTGGCCTGGAGGTGAAGAAGTCCTGGAACCTGCATGCCTGGGCCTTGCTTGTGGAAGCTCTTGGTCACTGGGATTCCCTCTGAAGTAGGCGGGGAGACAGCACCTGCTCCGTCTGGGGTGTCCCGGTGATATTGGCTTGGTATGAAGTTTGGAGAGATCTCCAGCATTGTGGTGTCATCCGAGACTTGCTGCTGTGTCTCTGGGCCAGGGTTGTTGGTATGCGAAGATCCACATTACAAAATTTTCAGCAGATTATATCTTAGTGAGTTCCATCCTGAGACGGTGGAGTCAGGCTTGGGGTATGGCGGCAATTTTGGATTGTGGAAGCAAGTGGCTACTGGGGGCTCTGCTTGGGCGGGCACAGGCCAACCCGCCCCCTCCAATTTACTTCGTACTGTTCAGCCATGTATGGGTCTGAACTTAACTGTGGCTTTTGATATCTTTCGGGATTTATTTAGTGGTCTCTGAGACAAGGCTAGTAGTATGGGGGTGACTGCCAGATGAAAATTCTGGCTGGTCTGCTCAGAAAGTCACTAATCTGCACTTAATGCTACAGGTAAATTGTCCTTAGGCATAAATTTAAGAAATTTTTGACAGGCATCTTATCAGAGAAAACTGTTTAATACTTTTAGGATAGTCAGTTTCTTACAGGCATTAAAAGTCATCTACTTTATTCTTCTAAAATATGACTCTTGATTTTGTTCATCTTTTGAATTTTTAAAAATTTCCATTAATGTCTGCCCTAAGTTTTATTATTTCCTTCCTTCTGCTTGCTTTGGATTCCCTTTTTCTAGCTGCATAAGCTGTGCTTCTCATTTCTTTCCTGACGTCACGTTTTTTAACACTTGTTTTACATTCTTTTTTGCAGGTATAGTAGTAGAAGATTGTCTGATTTTGCTCCAAAACTTATTAAAAAATAACAATTCCAATCAAAATTTTTTTAAAGAAGGCTCATATATTCAACGCATGAAGCCTTGGTTTGAAGTTGGAGATGAAAATTCTGGCTGGTCTGCTCAGAAAGTCACTAATCTGCACTTAATGCTACAGGTAAACTGTCTTTAGGCATAAATTTAAGAAATTTTTGGCAGGCATCTTATCAGAGAAAACTGTTTAATATTTTTAGGATAGTTTCTTACAGGCTTTAAAAATCTCTTACTCTGGTGGAAGCAATAGTACAGCAGGTGGGGTACTTGCCTTACACACAGCTAACCCAGGACCCAGCCACAATTCCCGGCACCACATATGGTCCCCTGAGTTCTACCAGGAATAATCTCTGGGCACAGAGCCAGGAATAAGCCTGTGCACCACCAGGTGTGCACCAGCCTCCACCCACCTCCATACCTCTCCCTCCCTTTCACACTCCACTCAAAAATGGTCTCTTACAATGGAGATTTGCAATTACGTTCATATAGAGAGGCATGTACTCAGATACATGCTTATCATTTGACTTGAATAATTCTTAACATCTTATCATTTTCTTTCATTTTTATTTCCACTCGCCTTATTGGGACTACTATAAAGAAAATCAGATACAAGTTTTCTGATGGGTTTTACTAATAGTCTCACTTCATTTGAAATTATTTAATCTTTCTTAAATTAGGGCTTTATTATAAATGTTACAATCCTAAGAGAAAGCTGACATCGAACTTCATTAAAATTGAGTTTTTCTCTATAAAAGGCTCTAAATGGTGTTCTATAAAATCTAATAGTATTTTATTCTTTGAATAAAGAATGAAAAGCCCCAGTGGTGGTGGGGGGTGGGGCAGAATACTTGCAAACCACATCTAAAAAGGATGTATCTAAAATATACAAATGCTCTTAAAATTCAGTAGTAAGTTTTAAAAAAAAAAGTGAAACTTATGTTCAGAATCATTACCTCATTGATAAAGTATACAAATGGAGAGAGGCCAAAGAGATAGTAGAGCAGTTGCCTTGTAAACTGCCCACTGTAGTTTGATCCATGGCATTGCATATGGTCCACTTGGCATCAGCAGGAGTGACCCATGATCACAGAGCCAGAAGTAAGACCTGAGAACTACCTGGTGTAAGCCAAACAAAAAAATTTTTAGGCATGCGAATGAGCCAATTGGCTTATGAAAAAATGTTCAACATATGTCATTAGGGAAATGTACATTAAAAGAATGATATTACTACATACCTATCAGAATTTAATGTTCAACAACTAAATTTAGTAAATATTTGCTGAGATAAAAGCACTAATTGTCAGGAAACAATCGATAATTTCCTTGCCTGTAAATATCAATAACCTGAATATTACTTGTTCACTTACTTATGGTTTAGGGTCATGTTGGTGGTTCTCAGGACTTACTTCTGCCTCTCTGCTCAGGGATCACTCCTAGCAGGCCTCAGGGTGATGTTGGTGGGATCCACTGGAGACTTATGTGAAGCATGGAGGAGAAAGACATTCACTTTCTCCCCACCCTCCTCTGCCACCCAGGACCCAGCGTTTTTGGGTTCTTGTCTCACCTTGCAGAAAAAAAGTTCAGGAGAAGATGAGCAGTGAAAGAGAGGAGAGAGAGAGAGAGTAAAGCACCCAAGGGAGAGTGCGGACTTCCCCAAGGATGGAGAAGCCCTGAGTGACCTTTAGGACTGGCTTTTATATGCATGTTCTTAGGGGTGCCTTAGTCTGGAGTTTTCTGTCAGAGATGGGGGTTGATCAGGTATTGTATCAAAGGAACAGCTTTGAAGTTTCTGGTGAATCTCTTTCAAGTCCTTAATTCTTTCTTTGTCTCTTCTGAAGTTTGTCATCTCTGTGGGGGTCCAGCCTCCTCAGAGCCTCTTACAGACTGGTGTCAGGTGGGTCTTATGAGACCTTAGTTCCTGTTTTCTGCAAGGTTGGCCTTGCAACTTTAGGGCTATTACTTCCCAGGATAGTTTCTGCCATTGCCTTGGGAGGGGGCCTTCCCCGTCTGCCTGCCTACATCCAGGGGACCATGTACGTGCTGGGCATCAAACCTGGGTTCACTGTATGCAAGGCAAGAGCCTGACCTGCTGTATTATCTCTCTGGCCTCCTGTAGCGTGAGTTTTAAATTGAATATTCCAAAATTAATGAGTAGAACACCCACAACTTTATTTGAGCTTTATGTAGAGACTTAATGAAATAAAGTGTGGATAATGGGCTCCCAAATGATTCCTGTATTAGAGAACAGAAATTTCTGTATCAATTTATTTTGCTTTTAACTCCTTTATTGATTCTCCTCCTTCAGACTCTTTAAGTTTACAATCTTCTGATAGTGCTCATAGTAATATTTGTAAATTTCTGAATGTTTCTGAATTGTTTCTGAGTCTTTGGAGTCATTTCCTCTAAAATCAGAGGGTTCATTTGTGAAGTTATAGGCCCTGGAGTTGCTTCCATAGTCTTGATTAATAATCAGGTGTCCATCTGCCCCATTTAGCCAGGAACGTGTTCATTGTATAATTACTAAAAGTGTCTTTCATTTCAAGAGTGACTCAGATAATAAATTGTATAATTATTCAACTTAGAATATGCCTAAAACTATTAGGAAAATTTTTTGAGGAGAATATGGGTAGAATCTATTTATACTCCCAGATACATCATTTTTATTTTTACGTTGGCATTACACATTTCAATATTTTATTTGCATTTATTTTATGTTTTAGGAATAACAGCAAATGGCCAACCTGGTGTCTTTGCTTCATACCACTTCATTAATAAAGGACATTTCTCTAGAAAATAAATTTGTTAATGTAGTTAGTTTGAGGAAAATGAAGAGAATTCAGTGATGTACAGTAAACGAATTTCCTGCCTAACAGAAAACCAGTATTTTTCACTTTTAAAAAAAGTGAATAAATAAGGGCCTGAGCAATAATTGTACAGCGGGTAGAATGCTTGCCTTGCACACGGTTGACCCAGGTTCCATTCCCAACATCCTATATGGTCCCCCAACCATCACCAGGAGTGAATACTGAGTGCAGAGCCAGGAGTAATCCCTGAGCGTCGCTGGGTGTGTCCCCCGCCCCTGGAAAAAATACAAACCACAAAAATAAGTGAATAAGCTAACTATAGCTTATAGGTTTGGAGAACAATAAATTTAGTTTAGTTCCCTTTAATTTGTTCTCTACCTCAACAATTGTTTGTTTGTTTTTTAATTTTTATTAGTGAAACACCATGAGGTACAGTTGTAGATCTACAAATTTTTGTGCTTGGGTTTCAATTATACAATGATCAAACACCCATCCCTCCACCAGTGCCCATTTTCCACCACCACGGGTCCCAGTATCCCTCCCACCCCCCATCCCCTACTCCACCCTGCCTCTTGACTCCTTGGTGCAGTCATGACCTCATTAGCCATGGGTTACCTTTTATTTTCCGATTTGTTCAAGCATTCTTTCTTTATAGGCTAATCCAGGGTTGCTTGGACTTCAGGTTCTCAATTATGTGCCAAATGAAAATGCTAATAATACTAATTAATACTAAATAATACTAAACTTTTCTATTTGGGATAGATATAGCCTAATGGGAATTATTCATCATCATATTATAATCTTGATTAAATTCTAAGTCACTAAAAGCTGAAATTGGTCTAGGTACGCTTATTTTACGCATATTTTGCAGATTAAATTTGGGGAAAGCATTTTTTTCAGGGTTTTGGTCATAAACATTTTTATTTTTTCATAAAATGTTTTATGCTTCTACCTTCTCTATAGGCCTAACCACGTGCCCTTTTTGTGGACAGAAACTGGTGACTCAGAAAGCTGATTACCTTTTGAGAGACTTCTTTTTCATTGTTGGCACTCTAATTATTAACAATTGACATATATTGAGTCAAAACCTTCCTTGATATAGCTTCTTCAAGCTTCCCTTAATTTTGTACTCTGGAAAAATACAGATCCATTTCTCCATTTCTTTTTTTGGCCTCTTTTTTTTTTTCTTTTTTTTGCTTTTTGGGTCACACCCAGTGATGCACAAGAGTTGCTCCTGACTCATGCACTCAGGAATTACTCCTGGCGGTGCTCAGGGATGCTGGGAATTGAACCTGGGTCAGCCACGTGCAAGGCAAACAGCCCTACCAGCTGACCATTTCTTAAACTATGTTATACATTTAAATGGTTGTTATTAACTCTTACTTCTCAAAGTATGCCTTTCTTCTAGCATACTTCCTAGTTCTGTGCCATCTAAAACTTTGCTAGTTACTTATTCTTGTTTACATCAGATGCTACTAAATAATTATTGCTTTTGTTAAGTCTATTAGTGAAATGATGATTATGTTTTTATTTACTGACTTTGGGCCACATCTGACTGGGCTTACGCTTACTCCTGGTTCTATGCTCAGGGATGACTCTTGCAGAGCTGGGTATCAAATCTGGTAGGCTGCATGCTATCTCTCTGGCCCTATTTATGTTTTTAAAATTCTCATTTGGTAGATATATATATATATATATAGGAAAATTAAAGGAAGAAATGACATTGGTTTGGTATTTGATTTAGAGTATATATGTGTGTATGTGTGATGTATATAGTATGTATATGTGTGAATACATATATAATATATATATAAATTGTTTTTTGGATGAAGACAATAAGTTTGAGAGAAAATAAAGCAAAATCCGTAACACTCTTACTTACAGAGATGAACAAGAAGCAGTGTTAAATCCTAAAGCGTTTCTCAAGTGGCACCAACTTATTAATCAGCCTCCTTTGAGAATTTCTATTAGGTCAGATGTGGAGGCAGCTAACAATTCTATTTTTTCACTGCTTCCCAAATGCTAGGATTGTTAGTTACCTTTAATTCACCAACAATAAAACCACCACTTCTCAAACCCATTTTAATGTATATGTTTAGTTTCCCCTTCTCCACCCAAAATCTCCTTTGTTCTAAAAACATTGTTTTATGTACCTACTATAATAATAATGATATTTTTATCTAACAATAATAAGATTGTTTTGGTCTATTCCATTATATCAATTACTTCTGTATATTTACTTTAAAATAGTGGGTCACATTTATATAGCACTTCATTGTTAGTAAAGTATTACAAATACCACATTTGATCTTGATATAAAGGTACGTGTAATTTTACTTTTAAATCGGTCACGGTCCTCCCGTTGTTCATCAATTTGCTTGAGCGGGCCCAGTAACGTCTCCATCATGAGACTTGTTGTTACTGTGTTTGGCATATCGAATACGTCATGGGGAGCTTGCCAGATCTGCCGTGCGGGCAAGACACTCTCGGTAACTTGCCGGGCTCTCTGAGAGGGGCAGAGGAATCGAACTTGGGTCGGCCATGTTGGCCGCTTGTAAGGCAAACGTCCTACCGCTGTGCTGTCGCTCCAGCCCGTACTTTTAAATAAGATATATATTTATAAAAATTTTGTTAGGGGGCCAGAGAGGTTGTTCAGCAGGCAGTGTCCTTGCCTTGCACACAGCTGACCCAGATTCAATCCCCGGCACCCTAGATGGTTCCCCGAGCCCTCCAGGAGCATAGAGCCAGGACAAACCCCTGAGCACCACCGTTATTGTTTGGTTTTGTTTTAATATGGGGGACGAGGGCAGTGTTGGGGATTAAACCCAGGACCTCATGTAAGCAAAACATGGACACTTTTTTTTTTTTTTTTTTTTTGCTTTTTGGGTCACACCTGGAGATGCACAGGGGTTACTCCTGTCTCTGTACTCAGGAGTTACTCCTGGTGCTGCTCAAGGGACCATATGAGATGCTGGGAATCGAACCCAGGTTCGCCACGTGCAAGGCAAACGCCCTACCCGCTGTGCTAACTCTACAGCTCCAAAACATGGACACTTTTCCCTGAGTTGCCTCCCTGATCCCCGGTATATACCGTTATTTTATTATTTTTTCAAAACTGAAAGCGAGCACTTGTTTCAGGAAGTAAAGGAAGCAAGAATTTGTTAATAGTTTATTTTTACTGGATGACCAAGACACTTTATTCTGTGGGTACAGAGCACTACACCAAGTAATTATTTCCATAGGTAGAGGGGACCAGTGTTAAAGTTTTATTTAAAAAAAAAAAAAGGTAAAAAAGATGGTTGGAGTTCCAAGGAGGAATACCCAGAAGTTGTTTTAAAGATTAAAAATCTGTGCAGAACACTTATTGGGAGGACTTTTCTCATGTTTCTGAAATCTCATGTTAAGTTCAGACTAGTTAATAGAATTTCAAGCATTTCATAAGAATTAAGCATCAATGAGGAGGCTGGAGAATATCGTACTACAGGTAGCGTACTTGCCTTGCACACAGCCAACCTGGGTTCCATCCCTGGTACTCCATTTGGTCTCCCAAGCACTGTCAGGAGTCACAGAGAGTGACCAAATAGAACAGAGTAGACCAAAACAACCTTATTACTGTTAGATAAAAACAATCTTATTGTTATAGTAGATGCATAATGCAATGTCTTTGTACCCCCTGAAAGTGCTCATCACTATCTCTGAGCACAGGACCAAGAGTAAATCCTAGGCATCGCCAGATGTGGCTAAAAAAGCCAGAAAGTCAGTGAGGCCAAACCCTTGCCATGTATCTTTCCCCATGTGTTCAGTTGTTCGTTTTAGCCATCTCTTTAAAGTATTTCCAGTTGAGGGGGAAGTTAATCATCCCTGAGGTCACTCTGTCTTCAGACCTACTGTATAACTAGGTAATTTCTCTTTAGTAAGAAATCTGCCGTCCCCCACGCCCCACCGAGGTCTCCAGCTGCCCCCCACGAGCGGCTCTCCGGCATGGCCACGACTCCAGGGCACAGAAGCCAGTCTCCTAACTATCTGACTTTTAATAGAAATTCTTCCAGGGTCAATAAGTAAAATAGCAGAAATTCAAGACATCATTTTATTCTTAAACCAAGTCGTAGAAAGCAAATCATTTCACAACGCTGTTTCAGCATATCTGATTGTGGGGGGTGGGTCGCAAACTCTAAACAATAATTGTGCATCTTCTATCGAAATAATCTATCTAGTCAAAGTAGATAGAGTATTAACTAGAACTCATCTGCCTCACAAGAATTGGGAGGGGTAGGAGGTGGGGGTCTATTGGGGTTCGCGGTTAAAAATAAGTATTGGTAAAGGGAAATGTGTTTGATACTCACATGACTGAGACCTAAACCCGAAAGCTCTGTAACTTTTCCCACAGTGATTCAATAAATAAATAAATAAATAAATAAATAAATCTGCCGTCCTGTTACTGATACATTGATGTGCTGAGTATAGATTGTTAAAAGTACCATGCTTCTTGTTTGAGATTTAGAAAATTACTTATTTTGTTTCTAATCTGGGAGTTCACAGTCTCCTAAGGAAACAAATTTAAGACAAAAAGCTTATTGTAATATGTACTATAACTAAACTAGTGGAGCATGAAGATGCACCTACACTGTGTAAGCAAATGCTTCACATTGATTTTTTTGTACATTTAGATAAAATTTGGGCTGGAGGGATAGTACAGACTGTCGGTTGTCTGCAGCGGACCCAGGCTTGATCCCCAGCAGAATATATGGTCCCCTGAACCCTAACAGGAGTCATCCTTGAGCACAGAGCCAGGAGTCATGCCTGAGCACTGTCAGGTCTGACTCCCACTTCCAAATCATTTAGATCAAATTTGCCCCGAGACTCCCAATTTTTTTTAGCATTGGTTTACATCTTCACACCTCAACTTTATGTCTCTCTCTCTCTCTCTCTCTCTCTCTCTGTGTGTATATATATATATATATCTCACTGTCACTGTCCTCCTGTTGTTCATTAATTTTCTCGAGCGGGCCCAGTAATGTCTCCATTGTGAGACTTTGTTGTTACTGTGTTTGGCATATGGAATACCTCACGGGTAGCTTGCCAGGCTTTGCCGTGCGGCCGAGATAATCTCAGTAGCTTGCTGGGCTCTCTGAGAGGGGCAGAGGAATCGAACTCGGGTCGACCATGTTGGCTGCGTGCAAGGCAAACGCCCTACCCACGGATGTGTGTATATATATATATATATATATATATATATATATATATATATCTCCACCACACGACATCTCCCTCCTAGCTCCAGCTCCATTCTCCATGATCAAACTGACTCTGCTTGCTTCCTCCTCCATTCCCCATTCCTTCCCCTTCTGGCTGGAAATCACCACCTTTTTTCTTCTCAGACTCTGATGGTAACTTTTGTTGTTTGTTTTGCTTAATATTCCACTTAAGAATGAGATCATTGAGGCTGGAGTGACAGCACAGCAGGTAGGGCATTTGCCTTGCACGCGGCCAACCCAGATTTGATTCCCAGCATCCCATATGTTCCCCTGAGCACCATCAGGAGTAATTCCTGTGCATAGCCGGGTATAACCCAAAAAGCAAAGAGAAAGGAGGGAGAGGGAGAGGGAGATCATCTGGGGCTGGAGCCACAGTACAGTGGATAGAGCACCTGCTTTGCACATGACCGACCCAAGTTCAATGCCCGGCATCCCAGTAGTGATCCCTGAATGCAGGGTCAAGAGTAAGCCCTCAGTCAACTGGGTGTGTGGCCCAAAAACAAAAGAATGGGATGATCTGGTACTTTTCCTTCACTTTCCGATTTATATTACCTAGCAGTAATCTCAAATTTCTCCCATGTTGTCCCAAAAGGCAGAAATTCATTTCTTTCAATAGCTGTGGGTATTTCAGGTCTTGTAAATGCAACTTGTGTTTTCTATTTCTTGACAGCTTGTTCGTGTCCTAGTGTCTCCTACCAACCCTCCAGGTGCCACCAGCAGCTGCCAGAAAACCATGTTCCAGTGTGGCTTACTGCAGCAGCTTTGCACTATCCTGATGGCCACTGGAGTTCCTGCTGATATTCTGACTGAGGTAAACTAAATGGCAGCAGAGGCTGCCTTGGAGAAGTTGAAGTCAGGAATCCTAGAAAGAACTATCAGCCTAAGGATAAATAATAATCATTAACTGTGTTCAGCTGTTCGATTCCTTCCTCACCATACATGAATAATTACAGAATGATGGCAGCACCAATCCTAAAGTGTATACCGTTCTTCAAACTTAATAGTAGCACTGTCCTCCATTGTTCATTGATTTGCTCAAGCGGGCACCAGTGATGTCTCCATTGTGAGACTTGTTTCTGTTTTTGGCATATCGAATACGTCACGGGGAGCTTGCCAGGCTTTGCCATGTGGGCAACTTGATTTCTTAAGTTGCTTGTTCAATTTTTTTTCTGATTTAATTTTAAAGCATCCTTTTCTTGTTTTATAAAAATAAATTCTATGTCAGGATATTAATACTTTCCATGTTTTGAAATTAAAATGTGCATGTGCATGCTCAGGTGCTTTTTTGATGCTGTTGTTGCTGCTATTTACTTCTTATTTTTATTCTTTAGGCCACACCTGGCTGTCCTGGGGTGCTACTCTGGCTCTGTGTTTGAGAGGCACACGCAGAGGAGTTGGGATGGGGAGATGGTTCAGGCAGAATCAAACCTGGGCCTCCTACATGCTGTGCATGAACTCAACCTGTTGAACCATCTCTCTGGCCCCAGTGTTGCTTTTACCTTCACAACTACATTTAATATTTTAAATTATTTCCTTGAGAAAGTGTTACAGTATTATGCCATCATTCGAAATGTTGGTTTCTGAATTTTAGCATTTAGAGCAAAAAGCAAAAAGATATGGCCTTCTATCGAGCGCAAGTTTCTTTCTCTCTAAATTTTCTTTTTTCCTCTTCTTAACAGACCATTAATACTGTATCAGAAGTTATTCGAGGTTGCCAAATGAATCAAGACTATTTTGCTTCTGTAAATGCCCCTTCAAATCCACCAAGGTAGGAAAAGAGAAATAAAAGTAGTGTTCTTCTAAGGAAGCAAAAATTATTTTGGGATTTTAATACATGTCATTAACATTTTTCTATTTTAACATCATGTTAAAATCTTTTGGTATTAAGATTTTCTAACTTGGGTATTTGGGCTCAAATATAACACATTCTATTTCCTAGCTATAAGCCTTAAGCAAACAAATCAGTTTGCTACTCTCAGCTGCAGTTACTTTTTCTGTGCTGTAGAGATGAAAAAAAAACTTGCTGGTGTTCTGGTGTGAGTTCTTAAATCAATAAAAATGATTAGTTATTGGGACTGGAGCGATTGTACAGCTGGTAGAGTGCTTTGCCTGGAGCACAGCCCACCTGGGTTCATGCCCCTGACAGTCCCCTGACCCTGTCAGGAGTGATACCAGCGCACAGAGCTAGGAGTAAGCCCTGAGCACCGCTTGGTGTGGTCCAAAGCACAAGCAAAAGATCAGTCACTCACCTTTGTTCTTGGGTTGAAGTACTCCTTTTTGTTCTTTTTGAATGCAACAGACCAGCGATTGTCGTGCTTCTCATGTCCATGGTCAACGAACGGCAGCCGTTTGTATTGCGCTGTGCAGTGCTCTATTGCTTCCAGTGTTTTCTATATAAAAATCAGAAAGGACAAGGAGAGATCGTGGCAACGCTGCTACCCTCCACCATTGATGGTAAATAATTAGTTCTGATTTCTGTTTTAAAAATTGAATAAGAGATTTTCAAGCTCCTAATGGTACGATTATGTATAATTTTCTAGTACTGAGATATGCATGTGATACTTAGTGTGATATCCAAAATTTTCTAATATTTCTTGGTTCTACTACTTCGTTTCCAGTAGACCTTGTCCCATCTTTCATTTTATTTTGAAAATACTGCTTAATACTACTGATTACCAGATTTTTAAATATTGTTTTAAACTGCTACGTGTGTGTTTAACAAGAAACCTAATTAAGTTTGGTTTTATTTTTATTTTAGTGAATAATTAACTTCTTTGTTGTTGTATTTTTGCTCTCTTTGTAGCAACAGGTAATTCGGTCTCAGCTGGTCAGTTACTGTGCGGAGGTTTGTTTTCAACTGATTCCCTTTCCAACTGGTGTGCTGCCGTTGCCCTGGCTCACGCTTTGCAAGAAAACGCCACGCAGAAGGAGCAGCTGCTCAGGGTTCAGCTGGCCACGAGCATCGGCAACCCCCCGGTGTCCTTGCTACAGCAGTGCACCAACATCCTTTCCCAGGTAATGTGCATGTTCCGCCCGCCCCTCTATGCCGATGGCTGTGACGGGTTGATTTTAAGATTGTCCTAGTAGACACAGATGAAAAGCGCCAGTTCATTGTCAGTGTGGAGAGCAAAACATGTTCTTCAAGAAGGGCTTTGCCAGAATGCTTCAGCAGGCCCGCACCATGCTGGAAAATCACGTTCTGGGCCAAAAGGTGGTTTTGTTGGTTTGATTTTCTTCCAAAGCCGTCTGGTGTTCATGTGTGTCATTTTCCCTCTCTGCTCAGCAGCTGAATTCAGGTCCACTCCTGAATTCAAGAGTAGTAGCGCACATGCCTGTTTCTCTCGGACTGGGATAGCAGCCCATTGCTTGTGTTACGTTACAGCTCTGGGTGTTGGTGAACTCACGCATCCTCCAGTTCCCTGAATTTAAATTTACCAAGTAATACCAAAAATAACAACTTGGTCTTTTTTTTTCTTTCTAGGATATTTTTCCCCTATTATTTTAATTGAATCACAGTGATATACACATTTACAAAGTTGTTCATGATTAGACTTCAGTCATAAGTAATGTTCCAACACCCGTCTCTTCACCAGTGTACTTTCTCCCCACTGATAGTCCCAGTTTCCCTCCCAAGGGGAACAGCATTGCTTTTCTTGAAGTGTTGACAGTTGACCTTCAGGAATGTCATTCTTAGATGGTTTGCCCCATGTGTCAGCATTGCTGCTGTTAAGCAATTCAGATTCACGCTTTAGGAAAGTTGTAAAGTCATCATCATTCAGAATCACTCAAGGAGTGTAAAAATTTGGATAAGGTTGATACACTGGAATTTTCTTGCCTCCTCTCCCTTAATACCAGGGACTTTTTTTTTTTTCCATTTCATTTTAAGCTGTGCCTCACTTATTTGAATTGTTTTATTGTGAGCATTGAAAGAAGCATCAATAGGAAGTTACAAATGAAAGCTTTAAATGTAACAAATGAAGAGGGAGTTGAAAACTCCCTTTGTTGTTTAAAATCACTTGACATTGACTGAAAGATTAATTTCTCTTCAATTTATCTGTCATTCTTCTCAGTGGTTTTTTAAGAAGTACTCCCCAAAACTCATATCTTTACTTAGTAAGTAGAATTCTTAAAATTACTGTCTGTGGAAAAAAGCCTTTATCAGCTGAACAGTAATTACCCATCTGACAACCACTTCAGACTCCCTTGTAATAGTACATTGCAACTAGTGCATAATAAGAAGCCCACAGGATAGTGAAGTCACTTTACTTTTAATAACCAGAGAGCGCTAAGATTGTTCTTTACCCTCTAAAATATGTATGCATTTTTCTGCACTAAATCATTAGTTTTTTTTTTTAATTATTAAATATTTGAAACTTTCATCCTCTCCTGAAGCATAGCTTGGGTTTGTAGACAGTTGAGGGGCTTTTCTGGATTAAAATTGTATGAAAGGAGCAATATTTATGAATAATTTTTAATGTATAATTTGCAGGGTGATAAGATCGACAGACGGGTATGTACCATTTGTTTAAGCTGAGGCATTTTCCTCTTACAGCAAAGCTTTTCCTTTGTCTTGGGTTTTGCTGTTTGGTTTTTTTAACCGCTTGTCTGAAGTTACATTCTACTCACACTTGTATGTGTCACAAGTTTGTCACTTTTAGTGGCTCTCAAATTTCTCTCCGTGGGATACTGCGATGGTGTTACTAAGAACTAGGGGACCGGAAGCTTCACTTAACCCGTCCTGTGCATTCTTGGGCTGCTTGCACTTCCTGAAACTCCCTGGTTTGGTTTCTTGGTGTTTGTGTGTTTTTGTGTGTGTTTTCACTCAAACTTCCTTATTTCCCCTGAAATCATTTCAAAGGACAGTAAAATTGTGGGTTAAGAAGTTTGACTTTAGTGTTCAGAGATATAATGGGTAGATTGCAGGCCAAATGTGGGTAAGGCCCCAGGTTTGACCCCTGACACTACCTCACCCTCACCTCCTACCCCACCTCAGGGTTTTTGGTTTTTTTCTTTAGTGAATCATTATATATATTAAAAAAAAAAAATCGATGGTCTTTATATTACTTGGATTATTGAAAAATGTACAATAGTATAATTTGGCAATGGGAAAGATTTTAAATGAAAATTACAGATTATTTTAGGATGTAACCAGTATGTTACAACTACCAATAAGTGGGGTTTTTGTGGGGGAGGGGTGCATAGAGGAGCCTCTCAAGTAGTGCTCACAAGATTCCAGGTCTCCACTGATTCTTGGCCAGCTGAGCTGAGGATATAATGCTGCTTATGCCCCGCACATGCCCTGTGAAGGTACCCTGGTTACCTGGTCATGTGGGGTCCTTGAGAGCTGACCACAATGGTGCTTAGGATGCTGGGATACTGGGAATTGAACCTAGGCCTGGCCTCTGGTGTATGCTCTGCCTGCTACAGTCCCCACCCCTTGGGAATAAGTTATGGATGATACTGGGGGAGCATGTTCAGTTTTAGTTTGTTTTGTGGAGTGGTCGGCAAAAACAGAACTATATCTTACTCATATGGGCACGTGTTCGATGGTGCAGTGTGGTTAGTAATAACTGAAGTTCTCTTGGGAACTGTCTTGTATATGAACATGAGTCAGCATGTTAATAACCCACTCAGAGGCATTTGGCAGCTCTAGCCTACCAACTTTTTGATATTAGGAAAAATATTTTGTAACTGTGTCAGACATCTCAAAGAAAAATAAAACAGACTGGAGAGATAGTGCACATATAAGGCACTTGTAGCCTTACATGAGCAGCCCTGCAATGAAGGATCCCTGAGTACAGACAGAGCCAGGAGTTTGCCCAGAGATCAGCCGAAAATGGCCCCCAAACCAGCACCCCCAAATTTAAGAAACAATATTTTTAAAAGTCAGTTTGCACACAGTAACATGCATGGATATTAAGTGTTTATGTATTTTTTATTTTTAAATTTTTTTATTTTGAATCATGAGATAGTTACAGACTTACAAATTTTCATGATTACATTTCAAAGTCTCATGGAGACATTACTGGGCCCGCTCGAGCAAATCGATGAACAACGGGAGAACAGTGATACAGTGATACAGTGACATTTCAGTCAAACAATGTTCTAGTACCCATCCCTCCACCAGTGCCCATTCCCCACCACCAGTGTTCCCAGTGTCCTTCCCGCCACTCCCACCCCTTCCCACCCCCTGCCTCTGTGGCAGACACATTCCCTCTTACTCTTTCTCTCCTTTTGGGTGTTAGGATTTGCAACATAGGCACTATGCAGCCATCATGTTTGGTCTATAGCCTACTTTCAGCACGCATCTGCCATCCTGAGTGATCCTTCCAACCATCATTTGCTTAGTGGTCTCTTCTCCATCCCAGCTTCCTTTTCGCCCAGCACATGAGATCAGCTTCCAAGCCGTGGGACCATTCTCCTTGCCTTTATCTCTGTTATCCTTTAGGGGTATTAGGAGTTTAATCTGGTGATCTTTGATGATCGAATATATCTCTGATACCTCTATAACCAACACCCCAAATAAGATATAGAACATATTCATAACCCCGGAAAATATATTCATGCCCCCTTTTAAGGAATTCTTCGTTCCCAGAGGCCACCACTAGAAAATGACTCGGAATCACACCTACAGTGGGATCATACCTAAGCTCTAGAAGCTTAAAATATTTTTTTTTGCACTTTTTGGTGCAAAAATATTAAAGTTGAAATGCAAAAGTCGGAATAAGAGGAATTTTTATTCAGAAAATACAATGGTGTATAACTGAAACCCAAGCACAAAAATTTGTAAGTCTACAACTGTACATCATGGTGTTTCACTAAAAAAATTTAAAAAAAAAGAAAATACAATGGTAATAAAAGAGAAAACATAGTAAATAGTGAAAATTAAAAGCATACAGTAAAAATATGATGTAGATTTAATTGGGTTTTTTTTTTTTGGTTTTTGTTTGTTTGTTTGTTTTTTGTTAGTGGTGTTCTCCCATCTAGAAAACCTAGTGATTTCTGGTAACTAAGCCACAAGAATTCTCTGAAATTTTCTTTTCACCATCCAATTGATTTTCCAAATCTCAATAATCAATAAGTTCAAGGGGAATAGAAAGAGTTCTTTACTAAAAGATATCTTTTTTTCTTGTAACCATATAACAAAAGGAATAGTTTTTAGTTTTAGTCACAATGTCTGAAAAGGCTTTCTTTTGTCTGTTCTAGATATTTTAGTTGTTTATTTTTCATTTTACTCTTTTTCCTTTCTCCTGTAGCACTGGGGATGAAATCCTCATGCAGAGCATGAGCTCTCTACCTCTGAACCATGTCCCCAGCCTCATAGGTGTTTATTTTAAATAATTCTGTTTGAACATAAAGTGGCAACAGGGTGGGAGAGCTTGTAGGTCTCTTATCTTGCACATGACCAGCCTGGGGTTCTCTCCCAGCACCCCATATGGTTCCCTGAGTCCCACCAGGGGTAATTCCTGAGTTCAGAGCCAGCTGTAAGACCTGAGCACCACCACCACCCACCTGTCCCCACCAAAAAAAAAAAAATGTTTTCACAGCCTTTAATGACCCATTTCTAATTTTCTTTTTTTGGATAGATAGGTTTTTTTCTTTTTGGGTCACATCCAGCAATGTTCTGGGGTTACTCCTGGCTCTGCACCCAGGAATTACTCCTGGCGATGCTTGCGGGACCATATGGGGTACCTGGGATGGAACCCCGAGAGGCCGTGTGCAAAGCAAACGCCCTACCCGTTGTACTGTTGCTCCGGCCCCACATAGAGTTTCTTGAATGGAATTTTGTTGGGTTGATTTTATTATTAACATTTTGAGATGATGTTAATATCGAACAGGACAGTTACTACAGCAATTTGACAATACTTAACAGTATGCTTCAGGGGCCAGAGAGATGGTACAGCAAGTAGGGTGCTTTCCTTGCACATGGCTAACCCAGGTTTAATCCCCAGCATCCCATATGGTCCCCAGAGCATCACCAGGAGTAATTCCTGAGTGCAGAGCCAGGAGTAACATCTGAGTATCGCCAGGTGTGCACCCCCTCCCCCAAAAAATATATAGTTTGCTTTAGTTTTATGTTTGAAAAATTTAGAGAAAAAGAAAATAGAAAATAATGTCCCTCAGTCTTCTTCCCCAATATCACTACTGATAAAATGTAATTTTTTATACTGTTTACATGGCAGTATTCTGTTTTTATACTACTTACATTAGATTTCATTTTCTGTTCTGTATCTTTTCCTTTAAGTATTTTTCATGTTATTAAACTCTTAATCACTATCAGTTTATATTATTGAATATACCAGAGTTTAGTTAATTATCTCCTTTTGTTTGGACCTTTTCTTATCCCCAATTTTTCTTTATTGTAAATAACAGGGTGGGAAAGCTTTGTAGGTAGGTCCCTTTCCTTGCACATGATCAACCTGGGGTTCTTTCCACCAGGTTTTATAAGCACCAGAATAATACACTTTGTATATAAGAACATTATTGCATAGTCCTTATCTTTTCACATTTCCAGTTTAGAAGAACTGTTCTTGTTTTTCTGAAGTTAAAATACTTTTTAGATATATATTTATATTACATATGCATATGGTATATAATTAAATATATGCTAAATAATAAGTAAAAGTAATATGTTTATGTAAAAGTAATATGTATATACAACCCAACTATTGCTATTTTACTTTTCCCATTTCAAGCTTTATTCTGACATATAACTGAAGTTTGGGACTTAAGTTCTGCTCTTTACAGAGAGAAAAGGGATGATAATAGTTTGGTATTTGTAGAACACTGTGGTGCCATGCTCTGTTCTAAATCCTTTCTGTACGTTCATATCCATGTGAGATCATGTGTATCGACCCTGTGAGATGGGATTAAGTATCTTCCCAATTTAGGGCTGAGGAAGAAACTCAGTAAATTACCCAAGATTTCATGGCCATTGAATTGTAGAACCAAGATATTTAAGTCTGGGGCGGGAGCAATAGTACAGCAGGTAAAGGCACTTACCTTACCCCCAGGTTGTTTGATCCCCAAGCATCCCACCACCAGGAGTAACTAAATGCAGAGCCAAGAGTCACCTCTGAGTATCACCAGGTGTAGGCCAAAAGCCAAAATAATGAATAAGTAAAGTAAAGTAAAGGCCCTCCCGTTGATCATCTATTTGCTCGAGCGGGCCCAGTAACATCTCCATTGGAGACTTTGTTGTTACTGTGTCTGGCATATCGAATACGTCACAGGGAGCTTGCTGGGCTCTGCCGTGCAGGCGAGATACTCTCGGTAGCTTGCCGGGCTCTCCGAGAGGGGCAGAGGAATCGAACTCGGGTCGGCCATGTTGGCTGCGTGCAAGGCAAACGCCCTACCGCTGTGCTATCGCTCCAGCCCTTTACTCGAGCAAATGAATAAATAAAATTAATATTAATTAAAAAAATTACAATGATTTAATTCCTCATACTCTAGCTTTGCTATCTGTCCTCTTAAGCTCTGTGTATGAGTTCATTTCGTCCTGCTGCTTCTGTTTACTAAATGAGGAATGTGGGGCCCAGCTAGCATTTGAACAGGTTTGAACAAACAGCAGAACATTTTATTCTTCTTATTCCCAGCCTCTTTAGAATTAAGGCTTTAATCCTTTAAGAATAATAATTACTAGGATTATTTGGAGCGAGGGGTGGGGGTGGTGTGTCTCTGTCCTGCAGTGCTCAGGGCTTGCTACCAGCTCTGTGCTCAGGCATCACTTCTGGCAGGACTTGGGGAACCTTATGTGGTGCTGGGATTGAACCCCATGCAAGGCAGATGCCCTCCCTGCTGTACTGTCTCTCCAGCTGAATTGTTTTCTCCTGAGATGAGTAATAACAGAGTTTAGAAATGTTAATAATAAAAGCATATATACAATAAAATGTATTGGCCTCTGTGTCCAAATTTCCTGCCTTCTCTTGGCATTTTTCTCTTATCTTACAAAGTGGTTTTTACATAGTATTCTGCATCTTGGGATTTTCTTCACTTAATAGTTGCATACTAGATTATTTTTTTCTCACTTGGACCTTATAGCGTGTAATAAGGCATGTTTTTGCCAATCTCTTAAGAGTGAAAATCAGAGCTGGAGAGATAACACCATGGGTAAGGTTCTTGCTTTGCATGTGGCCCACCCGGGTTCAGTTCCTAGCAGACCATATGGTCCCCTGAATCTCACCAGGACTGATCATGAGCATAGAGCCAGGAGTAAACCCTGAGCATGGTCAGGGAGGCCCCACAGCAAACAAGCAAAAGAGCTGAAAGCTGTTCGAACTTTGAATTTGCAGTTCTTTTTCTTAAAACTTGAATGTGTTTCTACATAGAGTTCCATGAACACCCAGCCCTGGTGTTTCATCTCCTCTACCCATTTTCTGTTGTCAATCATAACGTGTCTCCCAATAACTCATTTAATAATTAGGTAGTTTACTCCTTCTCTGTGATGATACCAGTGTCATTTTCCATGCTGATAGATCATTTGTTCTTTGGACTTTGGTACTTTGTTATGGATTGATTTTTGGAGCCATAGCACAGCGGGTAGGGCATTTGCCTTGCAAGCAAACATGACCATCCCGAGTTCGATTCCTCGGCCCCTCTCGGAGAGCCCGGCAAGCTAGCTACCCAGAGTATCTCACCCGCACAGCAAAGCCTGGCAAGCTCCCCATGACATATTCGATATGCCAAACACAATAACAGTTGTCACAGTGGAGACGTTACTGGGCCCTCTCGAGAAAATCGATGAACAATGGGAAGACAGTGACAGTGACCCCATCCCCAGTCCCCAAGGTGCTCAGGAGGACGGGGCCATTCCCATTCAGCTCTTCTCTGTGGGTCTGTAGATTGCATGTTCTGTCCCAATGGTGAGGTATGGGACCACACTTGCCGGTGCCCCTGGGGCCTGTGAGGAGCCATGTACTCTCCTCCCTAAGCCACTTTCTGACGCCTCAGACATTTTTCTTTTGTATTTTTTGTGGTGGCATGGGAGCTGGGTAGGTCCACAACCTGCTGTGTTGAGGGTGCTCCTGGCCGTGCTCAGATCTGCGGTGCTGGCCATGACACCCAGGCCTTGCGCCTGCAGAGCATATGCTCGCGCCTGTTGAGCTGCCTCTCTGAGCCACAAATTTTTTTTTCTGCACGCGTAGAAAATCCTCAAGGCTTCTTCCCCACCTCAAAGATTTTGTTTTTGTTTGTGGACAAACAGAAACCTCAGGTGACTGCTCCTGGCTTGCTGCTCAGGGGTCATCCTGATGGCACTCAAGGAGCCATGTGATGCCAGGGATCAAACTTGGGCCTCCAACATGCAAAGTTTGCACACAAATCCTGAGCCGTCTCCTGAGCCTGCACCTCAAGATTCTAACTTGTTCCTGTTTTCATCTCATACTTTCTGGTTTCATTTTTTTGTTCAAATCTTGTTTCATTTTTCTCAGTCAACTATGTGAGATATTGACTCTAGACATTTATCTAGACATTTATCTCATTGTCCCAACAAGTCTTTAGATTTCTTTGGTGCTGTCAGGGCTCATACATGCAGGGCAAGCGTATACATCCCTTGGTTTTTGTTTTGGTTTTTTGGTTTTTGGATCATGCTTGTGATGATCCAGTGCTAGGGCTGGAACTATAGCACAGCGGGTAGGGTGTTTGCTTTCCATGCGCTGACCCATGTTCAATTCCTCTGTCCCTCTCAGAGAGCCCGGCAAGCTACCAAGAGTATCCCACCCACACGGCAGAGCTCCCTGTGGTGTATTCGATATGCCAAAAAACAGTAACAAGTCTCACAATGGAGACTTTACAGGTGGCCACTCGAGCAAATCGATGAACAATGGGAGGACAGTGCTACAGTGCTACTTGGCAGTGCTCAGGGCTTACTCTCGGCTCTGAGATCTCCCAGAGATATTGTTGGTGGGCTTAGGACTATATGGGGTGCCAGGGATTGAACCCAGGTCACCCACATGCAAGTCAAGTGACTTCCTTCTTTCCATCTTTCTGGTCCCACCTGTTGGTATTTTTATTTGGATTACATTAATTTGGGGGGCAGGGGGCACCACGTGTGGAGGTGCTCAGAGTCTACCCCTGACAGTGCTTATAGACCAAGAGTGCTAGGGATCAAACCTGGGTCTTCTTGCATGCAAGATGTGTCATAGGCCAACGTGATGGTACAGTGAGTAGGATATTTGCCTCGCCTTCGGCCAACCTGAATTGGATCCCCCACATCTTACATGGTCCCCAGCACTGCCAGATGTAATTCTTGAGTGCAGAGCCAGGAGTAACCAATCACTGAACATCACCGAGTGTGGCCCCAGAACAACAACAATCCACTTGGTATCCTTTTGTTGATATCCCTCCCTTTGTATTCCAATGTGTTTTAAAGTTTTCCTCATTGGGTTTTGTGTGTTCTTGATTAGGCTTATTCTTGAGTACTCATCTTTTTTGTTGCTGTAGTTAATGAGGTATTTATTCCACCTTCCGTTTCTTTTGTTTAGGGATCACACCCAACAGTGCTCAGGACTTACTCCTAGCTCTGCGCTCAGGGATCACTCCTGGTGGGGTGGGGGAACCGTACCGGGTACAAGGGATCGAACCGAGGTCAGCTGTGTGGAAGGCAAGCACCTTACCCACTGTACTATCATCTCTCCTGCCCCTTTCCATCTTCTGTTTCTCATTAGTTCGGCCTTGCTCTTCTTTCAGCACTGCAAAGGGCAGATTTCTAGAAGATTCAGATTTTACTCTAAGATCATTTTAGTTTACTCAGACATTAGCCAGTTATAAGAATTCCCATGTGTAGACACTGCAGTTTATTTGTGTACTTCCATATGGTGTTCTGCCTCATAGGTTTTGTGTATATAATCAGGAGAAATCAACAAACCATTCATAATGATAATTAATTGTAAGGTTTTTATGGCTCATAGGTCTGTAATTAAGAGTATTTTTTAACCTTCTAGTTTACATGGGACACATGAAGATAAGTTGTGGGCATAAGAGGCATGGAAAGAGCAAAAATAAGAGCTCATGAAATAAGGTGTTCAAATAATCTTACTTTGTAAACCACTTGAAGAGGTCTGATTTGAAACTTGTTTAACTCATTATTAAATATACTTAGATTATAGTACCTCTGAAATATTGGCATCAAGGTTCATAAAATTAGAACAACTAGTGCACAGAAAATTTTCAAAACACATTCATGTTTACTTCAAATCTTATTCCTTATCTAGATCTTTGAATAGTAGCATTTTAGGTATTTTCTAAAATTTCCTCTAGCAAACCGCTTTCTCTTAGTTTTCATTATTTTGTTTCAAACAGTTTTATATTTTTATCTTAATATAGGTTGTAGAAATGAAGAAAATGTTCTGAGCTCAGAGAATATTCCATATAGAAGATAATAAATATTATGTCAAATAATCTAAAAAATCCTTTTTTTTATTCTCAATTGTGTTTGTAAGTTTTTATCTGGCATGTAGTTAGTGAATCTGTATCTGGCCTGTTAATACTGTTTTGTAATGAAAGTTGACTAATTCATGGTACAATTATTTTGTTATATTTTTTCCCTTGACTTTTTCTGAAGGAGATTAAAAAAATTGTCCCTACTTACTTTAGAATTTTTTTAAGCATCATAAATTTGCCAAGCAGATCTATATAATTATAAAGTGTTTTAGGGTTTATTTAATTGAATCACTGAGCTACAGTTACAAAGCTTTCAGGTTTGAATTTTGGGGGTTTGTTTCATTTAATTTAAGCAACTACATAATAAAGTTTTTCTTTACCACAAATTTTTTCTTTTCCACTAACAGAATCTTTGATAACCTGGATATGCCTATGCAGATGAATCAATTCTAATTTCTGCTCTTTGTTGATTTGGGGAAGTACCACTTGTAGAAGACACAGGGTTGGTTTCTTTAGTTCAGTTTTTAAATATGCATTTTTGACACATGTTTTATGAGCTGCTCAGATTGTTTTATTAGCTGCAAATGGGTAAGGATCTTAGGACAACTTTAACTCTGAAGAAAAAAAATGAAATGAATAGAGATTTATGCCAACTTGTCTATTGCAGGGAAGCAAAATACAAACAAGAGTTGGATTATTAATGTTGCTTTGTACCTGGCTGAGTAACTGTCCCATTGCGGTAACACATTTTCTTCACAATTCAGCCAATGTCCCATTTGTATCCTTTACATTTTAGTAGGATATGTGTATATTTCTAAAACTATATTTTAATTAGAGGTTAGCCCAAATATTCCAGTTATTGAAGCTCTTTTAACTGTCTGAATGGTGGTGGTGCTTGCTTATCTGTGTATGTGGCTTAGACTGTATATTGAATTTCTTTTAGGAATGGATTTATTTTATGTACATATGTATAACTCAAATAAGGTATTCTAGATATATAGAGTCATTGGTCTCCTTAACAAAGATTTCAGCTGACAGGACAGATTGCAGAAAATCTTGGAGAAGAAGAGCAGTTGGTTCAAGGCTTATGTGCCCTTCTGTTGGGCATTTCTATTTACTTCAATGATAACTCTCTTGAGAACTACATGAAGTAAGTACAAAGAAGACGCTACAAGGAAAAGTTCGAGGTTTCTGCTAAGCGCATATAGACCGTGTCTTTATTCTTTGTCCTGACTTCTTAGGCATCTCACTCTGCTTTCCTCTGTAGGGAGAAGCTAAAACAACTAATAGAGAAAAGAATTGGCAAAGAGAATTTCATAGAGAAACTAGGATTCATTAGCAAACATGAGTTATATTCTAGAGCATCTCAGAAACCACAGCCGAACTTTCCCACTCCAGAATACATGGTATTCGATCACGAGTTTACGAAGCTGGTAAAAGAACTTGAAGGTAATATGAACTTTTGGTAATCACTAGTAAGTACTTATAATTGTATTGTCTGTGTATATTTTGGACACGGGCCTATCAGTGAATGGTAAGCCTGGAAGTAGGGTTCTGTACCTCCTAGCTCTTGGTCAGTAACCCATCGAGGGCCTTTTTATTTTCAAGAAACTTATGAAGATTATTTCTTACTGTAGGAGACTTCGGCCATATGTTTTTACCAATTCATTTTGTTATTATTGTTTTGGGGATGGGGGTGGGGAGACGCCTGGTAGTGCTCGGGCTTACTCCTGGCTCTGTGCTTAGGGATCACGCCTTCCCATATGGGTGCCATGTCGTCTCCCATGTGCAGTGCCAGGGATCGAACCCAGGCTGGCCACATTGCAGGCAAGCGCTCTGCCACTGTACTACTAGCACCTTGGCCCCCACTTATTCTGTGTTGGTGGTGTAGAGTAGGCCACTTTAGAGCGTTGCTCAGGGCTCTCCAGGGCTGAGCGCTGCAGTGTGAAGGCTTGAGAATTCTACACTGCTCGGGCCCCCAGGTGCTGCTTGATCCTGTGATGCTGGGGGTCGCCTGGGATAGCCCTGTGGTGAGGAAGGGCCTGCAGGTGATGCCAGGCCATGCATGGGGACGGCATTCAGGAAGTTGAGGCAGGCCTTGTGCCCTATGCGAGCCTCCCACCCATACAAGTGTCAGTCCTCACTAATGAAGTGCTTCCTGTGTGCACAGCAAGCTTCAGATGAGCCTTCCTTTACAGGTGTGATAACGAAAGCTATTTATAAGTCCAGTGAGGAAGATCAGAAGGAAGAAGAGGTGAAGAAAACTCTGGAACAGCATGACAGCATTGTGTCTCACTACAAGAATATGATTCGAGAGCAGGTATGTGCAGCCAAACCTCCCGATGTTCGATCTGGAGAGCTGCTTTCTTACTTCTGCAAAGGATTCTTCCTGACACTTCAAATGTGGAGGGGATATACTTGGGGTATCTGAACATAAGCCCGGTTGGAAGCTGAACATTGTGTGAGATGTGGAGAATAAAAATATGAGTCAGGCCTTAGCGATAATACAGGAGGTAGCGCACTTGCCTTACATGCTGCTGACCTGGATTCGATCCCTGCACTCAGTACAGTTTCCCCAGCCCCACCAGGAGTGAGCCCTGGGCACTGCCAGGTCTGACTTCCCCCACCGAAAAAAAAAGAACCAGACATATTCCCACCACAATCCTTGGAAGACAATATGCAAAGATTTTATTTATTTATTCATTTATTTATTTATTGGAATCACCATGAGATACAGTTACAAAGCTCTTTATGGTTGGGTTTCAGTCCCTGTCCCTCTACCACTATATATTTCCCACCACGTATGTCAGGCACTTTTCTTCTTTGTCTCTCTCCCTCTCCTTTGGGCATTATGGTTGAGAATAGATTTTTGTAACACTTATTAAGATTGGTGATAGAGGTAACTGAAGATTACAGCGGCTTTGGAGAGACAACTCATTTAGGTGGTTTGGAGCAGGGGTTTAAGGGGCTTAAGACGAGGCCTCTGAAACTTTGCACTCCCAACACTTGTTTTTGTGAGCAGGAGGGGCGATGCTCTCAGGCCCTTATGGACCATTTGGGATGCCAGGGATTGAATCGCTGTACTGTCTCTCTGGCCCTCATCATTTTTCACCTAAGAAATGTGTGACCTTAGAATATCGGTATATGAAATATGCATAAAAATCAAACATTTGCTGATAATTATAAAGAAATCTCCTTTAAAAAACATTTTTTAAAAGTTATGTGACCAACCCAACCTCCCCCCCCCCCCCCGCCAAATTGGGGTCACAACCCAGTTTTTAACAAGATTGGCCCTCAAGCAGTGGTTTTCAAAGTTGATTTCATGTTGGAGTCATCTAAAACTGAAAAATATTGAAATATTTTAGGTGGGGGGGTGGAGGGTATTCGACTCAGAAATTATGCTGATGTAATTATCATCGTTGTGATCTGTCCCTCAATCCAATTTTTAGTAATGGTACAAAGGCATCTGGGATTGCTTGTGTGTTTGTTTTGGGGGACCATACCTGACGGGGCTCATGGGCTACTCGTGGCTCAGGTTCTTGGGGGACCATGTAATGCCAGGTATCAAACCTAGGACTCCTGCATGCAAAATTTGCTCTCCTGCCCGTTGAACATCTCTCCATCCCAGAGATAGCAGGAATTTTAAAATGTTCTCAGATACAGAGGAAAGTTTGAGAATCTCTCTCTTTAAAGCTTTTTGTCCAGCAAACATAAGACCAAGAGTCCAAACCCTGGCGCCACCCTCAGTGCCAAGTCATGACTGTGTTTTGAGGGATCCCCAGTGAGAAAGCTCCCTGGAGGAGGGGTCCTGGCCACCCTCACCTCCCACCATGCTGGGTATCCATCCAGGGAAAATTCTTAGAGAGAGAGCTTGGGCCTGAGAGATCGCACAGCAGGGAGGGCATTTGTCATTTACATAGCAGACCCGAATTTGATCCCCTGAACACTGCCAGGAGTAATTCTTGAGTGCAGAGTCAGGAGTGATTCCTGAACAAGGCCAAGTGTGGTCCAAAAATCGAGAAAAAAAAAGAAACACAATGGGAGTGATAGAACTTGGTCTTGGGGGTTGGGGGAAAGGGAAGTGGAGAAATAGTGCAGTGTAGTTCAGTGGGTAGAGCTCTAGTCTTGCGTGCTGCCATCCCGTGTTCTATCCCCCATACTCTGAGCTCCTCCAGGAGTGATCTCTGAGCGCAGAGCCAGGAGTAAGCCCTGGCCATGGTGGGGTTGCAAAACCAAAAATTAATTAAAGTGGTTGGATTGGAAAAATAAGAAATTAGTAAATAGAATTTCAATAATAGTAGGGTAGTAAGAGTTGACATCTCTTTCTTTTTTTTTTTTTCAGTGTAGGGGAGGGGTCCTACCTGGTGGTGTTCAGGGTTTGCTCTGTGCTCAGGGATCACTCCTGGTGGGCTTGTGGGACCGTTTGGGGTTCTGGGGATCAAACCCGGTTTGGCAGTGAGCAAAGTGAGCGCCCTGCTTGCTGTACCATCATTCCGGTCCCAACATCTCCACTTCCCCCCCAGTACTCTTAATGTTCTGTAATCTTTTATTCATGTTACTAGAACCATATACGTGTATTTGTATGTACATTTACTAAGCTTCTTTTTTTTTCTTCATTTTTTATAATTTTATTTATTGAATCACCGTGAGAGCAGTACAAAGCTTTCTGGTCTAAGTCTCGGTCATACAATGAAACACACGTACCTTCACCAGTGCCCATTCTCCACCACCCAAAACCCCAGTATACTGCCATCCCACACCCTCCTCCTACCTGTGGGGCAGATGATTTCCACATTACTCTCTTTCTACTTTGAACACATTCAATATTTCGACACCAGACCCACCATTATTATTTGAAATTTTACCCCAACACTCAGATCTGCTGAAAAGGCAACAGTAGACAATTTGTGTTCTATTGCTGGTTATGAATAACATAGTAGGGCCATGTGATTTTGAAATTCCGAAATTTTAACACTTAAATCTGGAGGGATTTCTGCCAAAAGCCACTGGGTTTCGAGATTTGCTCCTGAGTCTCTGGGATCATGGCCGTTGAGCAGCTTCATCAGAAGCCAGAGAGGCCGTTCGTGGGCGATGACTTGGGGTCTCGTTGGGGTGGGGAAGACAGGCCCGGCTCCCCCCCATCCCTGAGGCCCAACAAGTTTCGTCACTGCAGGCCCAGACCTGACTGTCCAATGACCTCTGGAGGATGACAGCCACCGAGCCGCCCAGGGGGAGCAGGCAGAGGGACAACACGCCCCCCACCTGGGGTGGCCCAGCAGCATTACTAAGCTTCTTAAGTGGTTAAATGTAAAGAGCTTAATGCTTTGGTGGTCTACACGGTGGGGTCCTGGCCCAGCCGTCCCTATACCCTCCCACTGCCGCCTCTCCCTACTGCTTGGAAATACTGTGGGACGCCAGACTTCGCCATTGGAGTCGACTTGAAATCTCTCACAATTTCGCAGCATGTTACTGTCTTTGGTGCACATATTAGTGTGCTGTTGTGGTGAATGCGTTTGGAGGTATTGAGTACTTGACCCAACACAGTCTCTAATTTGGGGGGTGCCCCTATACAGTGCTCATGGGTCTAGCTGTAGGGGCAGGAGGGGTTTGAAGCCAGGCAGTTTGTTGCTGCTCTGTGTTGCTGAAGGCTGCAAGGGCCACACATCCAGGTGCTGGAGAGGGACTTGGCGAGGCAGCCTGATAGACTGCTGGGGACTAAACCCAGGACCTTCAGCGTGCCAGACACGCACTCCAGCCCTCTCAGCTGCCTCTCAGCCCAGTCTGATGTGTAACTTGCTCATCTTCGTATTGCTACTTAGTCGGACTCTAAAACACTTAATAAATATTTTGTGCCACAGGATCTGCAACTTGAGGAGTTGAAGCAGCAGATTTCCACATTAAAAAGTCAGAATGAGCACCTTGAAACCACGGTCACACAGCAGGTGTCTCAGATTCAGCAGCACAGGGACCAGTATAATCTCCTTAAAGTCCAGCTGGGTAAGTGGAGCTTGTCCTCCAATGGGCAATAAGGAATAGACAAAGTCACAGGTAATGGGAGTGGACCAGACTATCTCTAACCTTCAGTTACCTCTGCAAAAACATATCACCACGACTTAAATTCTGAACTCCTTGTTACCTGTTTGAGTAAATGATCCATTGATACTTCACCTTGTCTGCCCGTGAGAATCATAATTACTGATGCCTGGACCCAACCCCAGCCAGCTTAATATGAAACTCCAGCTCAGGGAGTTAACTAGTAGATGGAACTGAACCTACTGTGCTGACTTCATCATACATCACCAAGCCATACAGTTTAGTCCTTTGGGGGAGGGGGGCCGGGGAGGGTTGTCAGTGACTTGGGAACTGTGCAGGGGACACAGGGGAGATACCTGGCAGTACTCAGCCAGGGGTTCATGAACTTTAGCCCCTATGCTATTTCCTCATCCCAGCAATTTAGTTTTTATAAGGCTTTGCTGCTTTCCTCCCCCAAACCCTAGAAATTGCAATTTTGTAAACACACTAATTTGAAAAGATTAAATGTTTCGTAAAAGTGCTCTAAGTAAATGAATTAAGTAAATTGCATATGTACTTTTGTATCTGAATCTAATATAGAAGTAAAAAAATTATAAAGCTTTAGCCTCATGTTGATTTTTAGAGTTTTATGCTCTTCTAATAGGAAAAGACAATCAACACCAAGGTTCACACAATGATGGGTCCCAGATGAATGGCATTCAGCTACAGGAAATTCCTGGGTTATTAGAAGAGATAGAAGAATTAAAGAGAAACCAGGAACATTTACAAAGCCAGCTGGCTGAAAAGGACGCTTTAATCGAACGGTTGGTAAGTAGATGTTAACAAGTTTTAATTATGTCACTGTCACTGTCACTGTCCTCCCGTTGTTCATCGATTTGCTTGAGCGGGCCTAGTACTGTCTCCATTGGAGACTTTGTTGTTACTGTGTTTGGCATATCAAATACGTCACGGGGAGCTTGCCAGGCACTGCTGTGCGGGCGGGATACTCTCGGTAGCTTGCCAGGCTCTCCGAGAGGGGCGGAGGAATTGAACTCGGGTCGGCCATATTGGCTGCGTGCACGGCAAACGCCCTACCGAAGTGCTATCGCTCTAGCCCTTTAATTATGTAAAGAAGTAATTCTCATTATCCAGCTCTTTCTTTTTCTAGATCCCTTGAGCAGAATTATTATGCTAAGGTTTTATTTATTTATTTATTTATTTATTGTTTGGGGGCCACACCTGGCAGTGCTCAGGGGTTATTTCTGGCTCTGTACTCGGGAATTACTGGGCTCGGGGAACCATATGGTATGCTGGGGATTGAACCCAGGTCAGCCAAGTACAAGGCATATACCCTACCCATTATGCTGTCACTGCAGCCTCATATGCTGAGGTTTCAAAAGTATGACCTTTGGGGGCCAAGGAAATAGGGGCTAAGGCACTTGCATATGGTCCCTGAGCATCACTAGAGATCAGGGGTGATCCCTGAGCACAGAGCCAGGAGTAAGTCTTGAGCACTATGTGTGTGCTCACACACACATATATATTGATATAGCTGTAAAAAAAGATGAAAGCTTGCAGTTCTCTGCACCTTGAACAGAAATGACGAACAAAAAAGAACGAAGCGAGTAAATACCAAATGAACTCACTCATCTGTGATACTTAAGCAAAACAAGGAAATAGACAGCTGGTAAATGAACGAACTGTGGCCTTGGGTTATAAAACTGAGATTGCTCAGCAGGGTGGGACTGGGAGGGACATAACTTACATGTGTACAATTCTGTAATGTCTTCCCCCATTCCTTTAGACTAAATTTATTTTATGGTTTGTCTGTATGCTGTTTGTAGAAATCTTTGCAAACATCACCAGACACGAATGAACAGTCTGTAGTGGCAGCGTCACTCAGAGATGCTGAAGAGATTGCAGAACTGAAACAGGTACATTTCCAGCTTGACCCGAGTGCTGTCTTTTCGAGTAATAGTCCTATTATGCCCACACCTGCTTTGTCAAGTGTAAGCAGAATTGAATAATGAAGAAGACCGATATTTAAACATCTGAGAGTGGTGTTTGTTGTTGTTGTTGTTTGCTTTTTGGGTCACACCTGGCAATGCTCAGGGGTTACTCCTGGCTCATGCACTCAGGAATTACTCCTGGTGTTGCTCGGCGGACCATATGGAATGCTGGAAATCAAACCCGGGTCGGCCATATTGCCTGCGTGCAAGGCAAACGCCCTACCTGCTGTGCTATCGCTCCAGCCCCTGAGAGTGGTTTTTATTTTTGGTCACTGTGGGTTAATGACATGGGATTCCATGATTAGGTTTCAGGCACACAGTGTTACAGCACCAATCCCTTTATGTGTTCCTTTTCCCTCCACAAAAATCACAAATCACAAATCATCCTGTTATTCGTCGATTGCCTCGAGCAGGCCCCAGTAACGTCTCTTTCATCCTAGCCCTGAGATTATATTCAAGGCTCTTTAGGAGAATGAGACCTATCATTGTTACTGATATTTGGCATATTGGGTATGCCACGGGGAGTTTGCCGTGTGGGCAGGCTGCATTCGGTAGCCTGCCAGTTTGTCCAAAGTAGGAATGAGATAATGAGATGTCATAATAAGATGTCGCGCGGTTCCGGGAGCTGGTTTTTATAGTCTCTGAGTCTTGGCCGCTGATGGATTACACGGCGCCAGGGGGCCAGTTGGTGGGTGTGACCCCCGCCTACTGGAGTTTGGAGGGTCTGGGTGGAGGATGCCCGGCCCCAATCTGAGTAGGCTTGGAGATCTCGGCCCCGGAACCCACGTGGCTTTGTCCCTCTGCCAGTACCTTCATGTGTGCGGAGAGTGGTCTCAGCATGGTGGTGGCTGGTCCTGGAGGTCTTTGGCTGCCGGAGCCCTGGTCGGGGCAGGGAGGAAAACTCAACCCTCCACAGTGTCCCTTATTTTCCTCCCACCTCCCAGCCTGCCTCCGTGACAGGCACTTCTTAAATAAAGTCTTGGCACCCTGACTTACCGGTAATGCTACCGATAGGGATTCATGCACTAAACTTTACCACTGTTCAACACCACCTCCTCCTTCTAGCCCTTCTTTTCTACCGTCATGATTTTTTGGGGGGTGGAGGCCGCATCCAGCAGCACTCAGGCCTACTCCTGACTCCAGTTCGGGATCCCTCCTGGCAGGGCTCAGAAGGCCAATTAGGGTGCTGGAGATTGAACCCCAGTCAGCTGTGTGCAAGGCAGGCACCCTGCCTATTAGACTATCTCTCCCAACCCCATTCATGATTATTTTTACATCAGATCTCAGAAAGCAGAAGTGAGTTGTGTTCTTTTCTCCATCTTAAACCTGAATTTCGAGAATGATTCTTCAGAGAATTGGCATTTCAAAAGGGAATTAAAAAATTTGTTCTATAAGCAGGTGTTTCTGTAGTAAAAATGTCAGGCTGTTTAATGTTAGGTGTGACTATTTTTGTCTCTTTCTTAGGAACTGTCAGTGTTAAAGTCTCAGTTAAATTCACAGTCTGCGGAGATCACCAAGCTGCAGACTGAAAAGCAAGAGCTGTTAAAGAAAACAGAAGCTTTGGTAAGTGAACTCTTTTTTGTTGCTGTTGTTTGTTTCCCTTCTAAAAATTAGTAGACACAAGGCTGTGTCTTATTTTTATGCGACAGTGAAAAAGAAGTGGATTTGCCAAACTCTTTTCTCTTTAGGTAGGTTGTTCACTAGCCAGAGTTCTAGTGACAGTTATTACCCTTGGTGGCAGCCATTTATTTGACAATAAACAGATTCCGTTTATTTGGTTACTTAGTGTTTATCTGAGTGGTATTTGATCTCATGCCTGATCCCTTAATTTTAGTTGCCAGGTTTTCTGCTCATATAAAATTATCAGAAACAGCTGTACAGCAGGTAAGGTGCTTGCCCTGCACACAGCCAACCCGAATTCAATCCCACATATGACCCTGAGCCCTGCCAGGTGTCATCCCTGACTGCAGAGCCAAGAGTAGGACCTGAGCACAGATGGAGTGGCTCCAAAACCAGAATAAAATTTTGTGAGAAACCTTGTCGGTATCCTGTGCAGTTTACGGAGGTCCAGGCATCATCCGAGGGACAACCCTCTGCACGTCCTTCCTGAATTAACTACATTTCTGTTCTGGATTCTGCTACAGTGATTGGTTACTCGAAGTTCCCTGTGTAAACACCTTATAAATAAATGGTTGTTCAGCTATATCCTGTCATTTCACTAGAATATGCTTTGTCATTAATTGCAGTGGGATAAATAGAGTTCTCTGTGCCTTCAGGTTTGATTGTTGTTTTCTTAACATTTCCTTCTTCAGTTTATCTCTCACCCCTCACTTTTTTTGTTGTTGTTCTGATTTTTTGTTTTGTTTTGTTTTGTTTTGGAGCCATATCCAGCCGTCTTCTGGGTTACTCCTGACTTCTATGCTCAGGGAGTCATTCCTGGAGGTGCCTGGGGGCCATACGGGGTAGCAAGGATCAAAGAGGCCCATGTTGGATTCCTAGCATCACCTGCTTCCCCATGCACTGAACATGGAATATCCCTGATCACTGCCAGGGATGGCCCCAAACTCTCTCCTTATCTCAGCATCCAGGTTCATAACTTAGAAGTTCTGATTTCCATAAAATACTAGTACATTATTGAACTAAATCCGTTGCCTCTTTAGAACCAGGATTGACTTTTCACTAATTTGCCCCTTTTTTCTGTCTGAAACCTGATCAAAACTACCTTTCACATCCTTTGTTTTGTTTTGTTTGGGGGCCACACCTACTTACTGTCTTATTCTGATTCAGTCGTGGGGGTTGGTTGCTCCTGGCAGTGCTGGGAAGAAGCCCCCGCTTTTGACCCGTCTCCCCAGCCTGAACCTTCAAATTCATGCTGACATTCGATTGTAATGTATACGTTCTCTAAGGCCAAAGAAGTTTTGTCTATAACTAACTCTCCTCTTTTTCTCATGAGCAAAGTCACCTTTAACTTCGGTGTTTTTACCAACAGTTTCATCAGGGCAGTTAGATTTAGTCTAGCACACGCCTGAAAACTCACCCAGCTTCTCCCGGAACTTTCCTTGTTTCCACTCTTGGTGATCTGGGACGCTCAGCCCAGCCTCTCGTGCACTCTGCTGAGGCCGGTACCGCCCTGCTCCTGACTTTGCCTGCTCCCATTGTTTCTAGGGAGAAGCAATTTATCACATGTAAATAGAGAAATGGGTATATTTTCTGTTACTGGAAATCAAATTTTAAAAAACAACAAGAAAATTAAATCACTTTTGAGCTTTCATACCAATTTCAGACTTTTTTTTTTGACCATTTTTGCTTGCAGGAAAAATCAGCTCCTATACCAGTAGAGAATGAATCTGTAATAGCCACAAAAACTACTGATGTAGAAGGAAGACTGTCGGCATTATTACAGGAGACTAAAGAATTAAAGGTCAGCTCGCGTTTGGTGGTGTTTTGGTGTTTGTGCCACATCTGGGAGTTGCTGGCACCTGCTCCTTGCTTGATGCTGCAAGGTGGTCAGGAGGAGCTGGAGTCTACAAGGCTTTTTGCATGTTGCAGATTTATTCCAATATAATATCAGAAATATTATATTGGAAATATTTTGAGGACTAGCTCATCAAGACTAATTTTGGGATGTAAAATTTATTTTTCACAGTAATCATTTATGATGTAATAGCCAAATACGAAATTTCCTGGTGTGGTGGGAGATGGGTAATGATGAGTGGGTGAGTGTGGGGGTGACTGTGTGTGTCTGTGTCTGTGTGTTTAAACCTCTGTCCTTCACATTTTCAGACAGCCCCAGATTAGACAAGTTCCAAGTATAGCAATTTGTCATAGAAAAAGACCTATTTGTTAAAAACCCTAGCAGAATTGATACTAATTGTAGATGAGTGATTTTTACCATTTTTCCCCTCCAGAATGAAATTCGTGTTCTGTCTGAGGAAAGAGCTGCGATTAAAAAACAGCTGGATTCATCAAACAGCACCATTGCCGTTTTACAAAATGAAAAAAACAAGTTAGAGGTGGACATGATAGATTCCAAGAAAGAACAAGATGACCTCTTGGTGCTGTTGGCTGATCAGGATCAGAAAATATTTTCATTAAAGACAAAACTAAAGGACTTTGGTCATCCAGTAAGACTGAAATATTTCCTCAAAGACTTTATTCATATATATATGTATATATGTATGTATATATATAATATGTACATATATACACACACACAATTTTTTTTAAGTATCTTCTTTTAACTGTACAATAGTGTGGAGGTGTTAGCCTGTAGTAGCTATATAGCTCACGGTACCTACATTGCAAGCATAGATGTGTAAGTCTGTGATGTGTTGCCATTGCCTTTGTGGTATTGGGTGAATTGACTTAAGATACAGATTGGAAGACAGAGACAGAGCTCAAAGGTGTGAGCACATGCTCCAATGCAGGAGGCCCAGATTCTATCTCTGGTACCTCAAGGTACCCAGAGCACCTACTGATGTTGTCAGAAACAACTACAGATTAGGCAAAGTTGCCATCGTGTTAACTGAAATGATCTAGACAACACTTCCTAAAATTAATCCAAGCACTGCCCCCCTTGTGAGAGGAGGGGGAAAATTGCCAAGCCCACTCATCACCAAATCAACGTCCTGTAAAGCAAAGCAGAAAGTCCTCCCCAGTGCACTCATGGCTGCGACCACCACAACCATCCCCGACTCCTGATTCCCTCAGGCTCCCCCCAGAGAGCAGTGTCACCCAATTTGGGGAAATATCAGTCTAGGAAGTCAATTGATTCCATTACCAAAGTCGCAACAGCTCAGCATCCAGATATACCCTTCTGTTTTGCAATGTTTGGTTTGGAATTGTTTGTAGGGAGCTGAAGTCACCCATCAGCAGATCAACCCAGTGTCCATTTCATATTAAAAAGGACAGGATCTTTGAGTCTTAAATTGAGGAAATCAGATGGCTTTTAATTTATAATTTCTAGGGTAAGGAATTTATTAACAGGGTATATATAATTATGTGTTGAATGTAAACACATCTGGGGCCTGCACAGTAGCACAGCAATTAAGGAGTTTGCCTTGCACATGACCAATCCAGGTTTGATCCCCAGCACCCTACCTGGTCCCCCAGGCACCACCAGGGGTGATCCCTGAGCACCGAGCCAGGAGTAAGCCCTGAGCACAGCCAGGCACAGGCACAAAACAGACAAACAAAATATGAAACGTCTTTGTAATGTTAAGTGTTGCTTTTTTCTTTAGGTTGAAGATGAAGATGAACTTTTGAGTGGAGAGCAAGATGAAGAGAATGACGAATTTGAAGATGATGACAAGAATCAAGATATCTAGCTCTAAGATCTCTCTCTAGGAATGATAGCAATTGTACTGTTATTTTGAAGACCGAGTTTTAAGGCGTGCTCTGATTTGCCTCCACAGAAAATAAAAATGTGGAAAACATTCTCTAATAAGACTATTAACATATTTTTAAAATAATGCCACCTATGTAACTACGCAGGACACGCGTCTTTTATTTAAATTAAACTGTCCCGAAACAATCTGCAAAGAGCTTCAAACACCAAAATGATAGCATTTCAGGCTGTGTTGGCACTGCTATTTGCCTTATTAGTTCATTGGTTGTTTACGTCAGTCTGTTTGTGTCTATTCCACTTTCCAGAATTTGTGACTTTAAGTACTAACACATTTAGTTTATGTGTATTGGAATCATTGCTTCTGAATTCAGTGTTGGGATTCTTAGTTAATGATTTTCTTCAGGGCAAGAGGACTGGAGGGATGCTGTCTCCCCAGCCCCATGTTCCAGGACAGGACACTCCTAGCGAGTGCCTGACGCCTGTTGGTTGCTGCATTCTGTGCCCCAGGAAAAAGACAAGGACTCACATGGGGATCTGGAGAATGTTTCCGAGAACATGGGCAGCGGTGTATTAGCGCGTGGTTGATTTCTATTTTTTTTCAAGCTAAACATCTAAAATTAGAAGCTCAATAGCTCGTACCACTCAAACTTTACTATTATTTGATTATCAGAAAACATTATGTTCCTAGTTTCAAGCAGACCCAGGCTATGATTTATATAATTTATTGGCATTTTTTGCTAAATAAGTTTAAGTCAGATAATAGATTTTTAAAAAGCAAATGAAACGATGTGTCAAAATTTAATGTTTTCATAATAAAAAAAAATAGATGTTATGTTCATGTAATCCCTGGTGTGATTCCCCTTTTTTTTAGATTTTGAGAAAACTTATTTTGTTCTCACTAAAAGGATCCATAAGATTGAATGGGGTTTAATTGGAAGGACTGCAGGACTGGGAGACGTTGGAGAAAGATTACGGTTTGTGAACTGAGCATTGGAGTGTTTAACAATGGTTTCTGCTTTAAAAGATGAAATTATGTAAAAGCAGGACATCAAGAGTTGGAAGATGGGGGCCGGAGTGATAATTCAAGGGATAGTACAGGAGAGGGTGTTTGCCTTGCATGCGGTTGACTCTGTTCGATCCCCAGCATCCCATATAGTCCTCCAAGTACCTTTAGGAGTCATTCCTGAGTGCAGAACCAGGAGTAACCCCTGAGCATTTCTGGGTGTGACCCAAAAACCAAAAAAAAAAAAAAAGAGTTGGAAGATGAACATATACCGTCAGCCCTGTGGGTTCAGAAAATAGTTTGAGCAGCCCCTTAGGGGATAGCCATGTTTGCAAGGGAAGTTCTCTTCAGAGTGTTCCTCACACCTCCTAGGGGAGAGCTGTGTTTCCCAGCTCAGCCCTACACCGCTCCCCGCTGCAGTCCTGGGATGGCTCCCTCAGCAGAGGACCACAGGACCATTACCTGACAAGCTCAGACCATGATATCAGTCCAAAGTTAACTCCACATAACAAACAGCTGGCTCCTGAGGGTGTTTCAGGCAGAAGGGAGGAGGAGAAAGAGAAGTGGGTCCAGTAGAAGAGTAAGACTTCCACAGATAGGGAAAGCCAAAGACCTGAAAGAAACATCTGCAAAATCAGTGATAGTTTGCCGAAGCACAAATCCCTCAGCCTGACTTTGCAGTACCACAGTCCCCCCAAAACAACATCTTCCCAGCCACAGGCAGTTTCTGCCACAACTGCACCGGACACTGGTATCTGTCTTCATTCCACTGTTGCCTGTCCACCGTCCTCCATCACAGCAAGCTTTGTGAAATGCAAGGATGAGCAGAGATGGATAAGACCCTTTGTGCTTTGCTATGCTCTAGTCTTAGCTCTTTTCAGATACATTTTAGAACTGGAGCCATAGCACAGCAGTAAGGCGTTTGCCTTGCAGGAGGCCAGCCCGACCAACCCAAGTTCGATTCCTCCGCCCCTCTCAGAGAGCCCGGCAAGCTACTGAGAGTATCTCGCCCGCACGGCAAAGCCTGGCAAGTTACCCATGATGTATTCGATATGCCAAACACGGTAACAACAAGTCTCACAATGGAGACCTTACTGGGCCTGCTCTAGCAAATCGATGAACAACAGGAGGACAATGCTACAGTGCTACCAAAATGTTTATAGCATAAAGCCTGCTTTTCCACATTGCACTTTGCTTTTGCAATTACTTTTTCCTTTGTTCGTTATTTTAAAATTTCTTTTTATTGAGTCATCGTGAGATACACCGTTATAAAGCTGTTCGTGATCGGGTTTCAGTCGTACAGTGATCATCACCCATTCCTCCACCAATGTACATATCCCACCACCAGTGTCCCAGTATACCTCCCTCCACCACACCCACCCGACCCAACCCCCGCCTGCAGCCTGCCTCTATGGCAGGTTCTTTTCTCTCTCTCCTTTGGGCCATTATGATTTGCAATACAGATATTTTGTGCAGGTCCTCTGCTTGTTTTCAACTCATATAAATCCTCTTTCCATGTATGGTGAGTTCCAACAGGAGAATAATAATCATAGCACAAAATCCGTCTTGATCTTGGAAGTTTTGTTCAAGTCTATTTTGCACTTTGTGTATCACTGAAAGAAAAGAATGATCACCCGGAGTTACTATAAAAGGTAAACGAGGGGTTGGAGTGAAAGCACAGCGGGTAGGGTGTTTGCCTTGCCCGTGGCCGACCTGGGTTTGATTCCCAGCATCCCATATGGTCCCCCGAGCACAGCTATGAGTAATTCCTGAATAAAGAGCCAGGAGTAACCCCTGTGCATCGCTGGGTGTGACCCAAAAAGGAAAAAAAAAAGGTAAATGACTGCCTCATGAGCAGAGGGGAGAAGGCAGCTGGGATAGAGAAGGGATCACTACGAAAATGATGGCTTGAGGAATCGATCAGGATGGGAGATGTGTGCCGAAAGTAGAAAAAGGACCAAACATGATGACCTCTCAGTGTCTGTATTGCAAACCATAATGCCCCAAAGTAGAGAGAGAGTATGGGGAATATTGTCTGCCATGGAGGCAGGGGGAGGGTGGGAAAGGGGGGCTATATCAGGGACATTGGTGGTGCAGAATGTGCACTGGTGGAGGAATGAGTGATCATTGTGTGATTATAACCCAGACATGAAAGCTTGTAACTCACTGTTATTCAATCACAATCAATCACAACCATCCTGTTATTCGTCGATTGCCTCGAGCAGGCCCCAGTAACGTCTCCTTCATCCTAGCCCTGAGATTTTTTTAAAAAGTGCCATATTCAAGGCTCTTTCAGAGTTAGGAGAATGAGACCCTTCATTGTTACTGGTATTTGGCATATTGGGTACACCACGGGGAGTTTGCCAGACTCTGCCGTGTGGGCAGCTTATATTCCGGTAGCCTGCCAGTTTGTCCAAAGTAGGAATGAGATGATAAGATGTCGCTTCCTGGAGCTGGTTTTTATAGTCTCCGAGTCTTGGCCGCTGATGGGATTACACGGTGCCAGGGGGCCAGTTGGTGGGTGTGACCCCTGCCTACTGGAATTTGGAGGATCTGGGTGGAGGATGCTCAGACCCGATCCAAACAGACTTGGAGATCTCGGCCCCGGGACCTGCGTGCCTTTGTTCCTCTGCCAGTACCTTCATGTGTGCGGAGAGTGGTCTCAGCATGGTGGTGGCTGGTTCTGGAGGTCTTCGGCTGCTGGAGCCCTGGTCAGGGCGGGGAGGAAAACTCAACCCGCTCCCCTCCAAGGGGCCCCGGCGAGGACAGCCAGGCGCGGGGGCAGGAGACTCTGCTCTGTTCTCTTCCGAGAGCTGGTTTTTATAGTCTCTGAGTCTTGGCCGTTGATGGGATTACATGGCGCCAGGGGGCCAGTTGGTGAGTGTGACCCCCCCCCCCCCCCCGCCTACTGGAATTTGGAGGATCTGGGTGGAGGATGCTCAGACCCAATCCAAGTAGGCTTGGAGATCTCAAAGATCTTAAATTTTTGTTATTCAATCAAAAATTAAAAAATTAAATGACAAGTCACATTTTATTTTTTATTCATTTGTTTTGGAGGCCACACCCAGGGGTGCTCAAGGGTTACTCCTGGCAGTGCTTGAGGGACCATATGGGATGCGGGGAATTGAACCCTGGTTGGCCAATTGCAAGGCAGACACCATATCGGCTGTTCTATCGCTCTGGCCCACCTACAGCTCCCATTTTAAAGGTTTACATTGTCACTGTCACCATCCTCTCATTGTTCATCGATTTGCTCGAGCGGGCCCAATAACATCTCCATTTTGAGACTTGTTACTGTGTTTGGCATGTTGAATACATCACGGGTAGCTTACCAGGCTTACATTACTAGTCTGAAAATGAGCTGATAAAAAATTAAACCCTCCTGGGCTGGAGCAATAGCACAATGGGTAGGGTGTTTGCCTTGCATGTCGCCGACCTGGGTTCGATTCCCAGCATCCCATATGGTTCCCTGAGCACCACCAAGAATGATTCCTGAGTGCAGGGCCAGGAGTGACCCCGAGCATCGCCAGGAGTGACAAAAAATAAAATAAAATCAAACCCTGGATTTTCTTCAAAGCTTCCAGTTTTATTGCAGTATGATTAGGGTCTCAATGCTCATCAAATCTAGAAGTCTCTACTTTTACCCCAGCCAAAATAATACTTTAGTTATTTCTTGTATGTTGAGTGCCTATGCGCTAGGCACTGCTGTGAGCATTGTGGATTATAGCATTGAGTAAGAAAACCCCTTCCCATATCATTCTGAAGAGTAAATGACAGTCAATAAGTGCACAAGCAATACGAAGAGTCATGGGGTTTCTGGAAAGTCATTTATATTTTATTAAGAGTTTCCTGGGAAGCCAGAAGCGCAATGGGATCTGTTTATTTCTTTATTTCATAGATTATTTGTTCTGCTATGTCAACAATTGTGTATAGGGAGTAGACATAAGAGAAAGCCAAATTAGATAGGAGTCTATTGCTGTCTCAAAGCAAAGCAGATTAGTTCAGACTATTAATTAGGGTTGTAGGGGTGGAAGTGTCTCAAGTAGCAGCAGACTTAATGAATTGTCCGTGTCTGGGGAGAAAAAAAGCCAGGAGAAGTCAAGAATGACTCGTGGGGAAAGATGGTACCCCAACTTTTGCTGTATCAGAGGTGCCTTTGGAGAAGAGCAGGCTTGTGGTGCTGGTCTAGAATCGTGTTTTCAAGCTTACTGAATTTTGAAAACCAAGTAGATCTCCTTTACCTAAGATATGCTCAGTGGCAGATGAAAAGGAAAATTTGGAGCTCATTATGTTGGAAAATAGAGGGTATAGATAATATTTAAATTCAGCCATAGAATTAAGTTCTTCTAAGGAGTGTGTATAAGGAAGAAACAGCCAATTAATTACTGTGCATTTGAGCAGTTCAGTTTTTGGAGGTGGAGAAGACACCTACGTGGTATTAGGTGCGCAATCAAATTTGCTCTTACCCCAAAGCAAATTTGAGCTTTTGAGCTGAGAAAAACTTGGGCGTGGTGGGGGAGAAATGTGACTGTTATTCTAATTTACTACTGCATTTCTAGAAAATGAAAATTTAACTTTTTGAAACTTTATTGAGTCATTTTATTCATGCAAAGAAGTGCTTTGTTACTGAATCTACCCTTTGAGAGATCTGCTTTACTAATCACGTAGAAGATAATTACATCACCTGTAAGATTTTATAAAATGCAAATTTTTTAAATCAAGATGCCCCTTATGAATTAGTAACCTGCTTCCTTGCCAGTACTTCTAAAAGGTGTTTATTGCAATTTTTCTATATCTACAATTCAGAAACTAGGATTTTCCTAAAAATCTCTTCAAATAA